TACATTCTGTTGGTCAAGGCAAGTCAGGAACAAGGCCAGTCTGAGTTAAAAAGAAGGGGAAATAAACTCTGCCTTTTGATGGGAGGAGCTACCTGTATGTACAGGGAAGAATTATGATAGCTGTCTTTGGAGACAATTTCACTGGATGATCGAATATGCTGTGGTCACAGCTTATTTGTAGAGGTGAGCTGTGCAGTATAGAGGAGGGCCCGTAATTCATTCTAGAGAAACCAGGGGAGGCTTCCAGAAGAAAATATTTGACCCTCAGCTTAAGTGTTACTGATAGCTGGGAGTGTGAACGAATGAAAAGGTGAGGAAGGGTATTCCAGATACAGGGAAAGTGTTGCTAGAAGCTCTGAGATGCAAAACATGGTTGCCAGAAGCTCTGAAGTGAAAACAATATAGTGCATTCAGGAACCTATAAGTAATAAAAGTTATTACGTTCTATGCATTCTTGGAGATGAGGGCAGTTTCTTCAGTTTGAGCTTTTCCTAAATCCAGTGGCGGTTTTACTCGTTTTTAAAATACGATTTCATTTCTTTCCTTGAAGGATTCAAGAGCCTATTTTCATCTGCTTAATCAGATTGCACCTAAAGGTGACCGGGAAAATGAACCTGCCATTGCCATTGACTTTTCAGGATTTAATGTGAGTACAGTTTTTAATTTAAAAAATTTTATTTTGGTAAAATATACATAAGATTTACCACCTTAACCATTTTTAAGTGTACAGTTCAGTGGCATTAAGTACATTTGCATTGTGTGCAACCATCACCACTCTCCACAGTGAAATATGTACCCATTAAACAGTAGCTCCCCAGTCCCTTCTCTCTCGAGCCCCTGGTAACCACTGCTCTACTTTCTATCTCTATGGATTTGATTAGTTAGTGCAGATGAATGTAGAGTGCAATTCTCTATGGCCAGCATTCACAGGGGGAGTCCTCAGCCCTTCATTAAAGCTCAGCCCTCAGCAGCTTTTTTTGCCCTAACCTCCAAATCTCCAGGCCAAGTCATCTGGCCCTCATGATTGAAGAGATGGAATTGTACATCTGACCTTTAGTATGAAATCAACCCTACATCCCCTTTCTCCTGGTGCAGTGAAACTGCAGCTCACCAGGGTGCTTTTGTGACTCACTGTGTACCTTGAAAGAGAGCAACAAGCCATTTTTAAGTTGCTAAGCAACCATCAGTTCTTCAACTTACATTTGTAAATATGCAAAAGATGGCAATTCCTTGTATTAATGGTGTAGGAATGACTGATACAGATCCAAACCCATCTAACACATTTCCTAGAAAGCCCATTCTTTTAGCAAAAGTTTTAAATCCTGGGGATAGTTCTATCCAAACATTAAAATCTGGTCAAACCGTAGAGTTGGTATGAAAATCTAAGTGCTTCAAGTGCAACATCCCTAATATTTAGTTTTAAAAGCAATTTGAGGCATTACTAATTATATTTCAGATTATTATAATGAAATATCTAAGAAACCTAGTATTGAAAATTATGCAAAATTTGCAAATTAGATTGAGTCAAAAAATCAGGAACTTAAAAACTTAAGGAAAATTTCAAATATATACAAAAGTGACCAAACTTAGTCCATTGAACTACCATGTGTCCCATCTCCCAGGTTCAACGACTATCAATCCATGGTGAATCTTTATCATGTACCTATTTCCTTCCTGTCCAGTATAATTCTGAAGCAAATCCTAGATGTCAGTAATTGTGTCAATAAGTGTTTCAGTCTGTATTTCTGAAGGACAATCTGTATAAGGTATAATAAGGTCCAATATATTAGATCTTATCATAGTTAAAAAAAATAACAGTAATCTGTAATACTCAAGTATCTAGTCAATTGACATTTCCATTGCCACATAAATGCCAGATTTTCTTTTTATAGTTTATTTAAATTAAGATCAAATTAAGGTCTACATATGATTAATTTATGTCTATCTTAGGAACTTTTTACTGCTCTTTAATGGCTTTGAACCTACTGCTCTCTCAGATTTCATTTACATTTTTACTTCTTTGCATCACTGGTGTATAGAACTGGATAAGTCATGATCCTTGATCGTGTTAGTCTCATCATGGGTCCATGCATGTCCCTCTTTTCTTTTGTTTTTAGTTGTTTTGAAATTATAACAGGCCTGTATGAACCCTTAATCCAAAAGAAGCTAAGACCCTGACATAATTGACATTTAGCTGTGCCATTTTTTCCCTTCCCATTTCTCTGCCTCACCTTAATGTGATAATCACGGTCTTGAATCTTAGGTTCATTGTTCTTTTGTTTTTTTTCTTTCAATTAAATAAATTTCATACAAAATTAAATTTTTAGTTTTACTTTTTACTTCATATAAAGTTTATGTTGTACTTAGATTTCTAGGACTTATTTTGAGCATATTGATAAGAGTCACTCATATTGCTGTATGTCGTTGTTTTAATATAATACAGTTTATTCAGTTACTCTCCTATTGATAAGCATTTGGCTTTTTTTCCAGGATTATGCAATTGTGAGAAGTGCTGTTCCTTCTAATTTTAACATTTTTTAATATATGTCTCAGCTTGTTTTTCATTGAGAAAAGATCCTACTGGAAATACCATACAGGGTAGAGTGGGTGAGACATCTAAGACTCCTTGCCAGAGGCACTCCAATATGGCTTGAACAAGTTACCTACAAAATTCAACCAGTAGGATCTTATTGATATAATATTTGAGAGTTTGGTTGAGTACTTCAGCAAGGAGGGTGAAATATTCCTCTGAGCCCAGCAAGACTTGTTGATTTAAAAGAAATGGGGAACTTGACTTGTAATTCCTGTACATTCTGAACTTATTTTGAGCTATTATTTGATATGTTTCCAGAAAAATAATTGCTTATAAATAAGTATATCAAAAAAGCAAATAATCCAATTAAAAAATGGGCACAGGATCTGAACAGACACTTCTCCAAAGAAGAAATTCAGATGGCCAACAGGCACATGGAAAGATGCTCCACATCATCAGAGAAATGCAAATTAAAACCACAATGAGATATCACCTCACACCAGTTAGGATGGCCAACATCCAAAAGACAAACAACAACAAATGTTGGCGAGGATGTGGAGAGAGGGGAACCCTCCTATACTGCTGGTGGGGATGTAAATTAGTTCAACCATTGTGGAAAGCAGTATGGCGGTTCCTCAAAAATCTCAAAATAGAAATACCATTTGACCCAGGAGTTCCACTCCTAGGGATTTACCCTAAGGATGCAGGAGCCCAGTTTGAAAAAGACATATGCACCCCTATGTTTATCACAGCATTATTTACAATAGCCAAGAAATGGAAGCAACCTAAGTGTCCATCAAGTAGATGAATAGATAAAGAAGATGTGGTACATATACACAATGGAATATCATTCAGCTATAAGAAGAAAACAAATCCTACCATTTGCAACAACATGGATGGAGCTAGAGGGTATTATGCTCAGTGAAATTAGCCAGGTGGAGAAAGACAAGTATCAAATGATTTCACTCATCTGTGGAGCATAAGAACAAAGAAAACACTGAAGGAACAAAACAGCAGCAGACTCACGAAACCCAAGAATGGACTAACAGCTACCAAAGGGAAAGGGACTGGGGAGGGTGGGTGGAAAGGGAGGGATAAGGGGAATAAGGGGCATTACAATTAGCACACATAATGTGTGTGGGGTCATGGGGAAGGCAGTATAGCACAGAGAAGACAAGTAATGATAGCACCTTACTATGCTGATGGACAGTGACTGTAATGGGGTATACGGGGACTTGATAATGGGGGAATCTAGTAACCACAATGTTGCTCATGTATTTGTAGATTAATGATACCAAAATAAAAAATATATATATATGCATAAAAGTAAAAAAAAAATAAAAATAAGTATGTAATACAGTAAAAAATTATGCTAGTCAGAAGTTTAATTTTGATCATTTTTATTTCATTGTTTAGGAGAAAAATGACCTGAAACGTGCTGGATTCATGCTTCAAGAAGCAGATAAACTAGGGTGCAGACAGTTTGTTACTCCTGCAGATGTGGTTTCAGGCAATCCTAAACTTAATTTGGCTTTTGTAGCTAATCTTTTTAACACATACCCATGCCTACACAAGCCTGATAATAATGACATCGATATGAATTTATTGGAAGGTACGTTCTTTCTGCCTTTAATTGGCTCACTGTGTGTATCTTCTTGTGGTGCTGTCCTACTTCACTGTCAGAGGTAGGGGAGTGTGGTGGGACATGCAGTTTATTGTGTGTAGGCCTGTGCATCCATTAGAGAATTCGACTTAAAGAAAGTGGTTACTGGTTTTGATTAACACAGAATGCTGGGGTAAACCTTACTTTCTGCATTTCTCCCTAAGAGTTTAGTGAAAACTATCATACATTTAAAATATTCTCTTCAATGACCACAAAACTCTACCACCAGTATGGACAATAATCTATGGAAAAAAATAGTTTTTGTAGCTTTTTTCTTCTTTGAAAGCTACAGTTTGACTCTAGTAGTGTTCTCTTTTTAATGTTTTTAGTATGCATGAAAAAATTTACAGTATTCATTATTTGTGTGTGGGCTATTCATTATCTGTCTCATGATTTGTAATACTTTCCTGTTTTGCTTCATGAAATGCAGATTTGACCCCTCCTAATGTAGGTACTGTATTTAGTACTTTTCTCTACTCCATATTCATTCTGATTGTTCTTTTCATGAGTACCATTTATTTATTCTTTCTGAGTTGATATTTCTTTTTTGCATTATTCATGCTGTGTTTTTCCTGTCTTAATATGCCTAAAGAATAATGACAACAAGCAAGAAACACAAATGAAACTTAATTAGAATATTAGAGCAAGGCTTGATTGTGTAAACTGTCCACTTAATTTGCCTTCTATAATAATGGAATATGTAATTGTAAACACATTAGAAATCAGTTTTGACAATTGGATCTCGTGATTTTGTATAAAGTCTTTATCCCTCTCCTGTGAATAAACACACTTTTATCACAACAACTCTTTGAAAGGATCTATTTAGGTTCTAAAATAGATTATTTTGTATAATTTATGTTACTTTTACTGAATGTCATTGAAGCTTACAATATATGAATCATTGTAATGACAAAAGCAGTCTCAATATCTAGTTGTTTCTCTTTATCTCTGTTTCCCAGCATCTCTTTTTTCTTCTCCCATTCTCATACCCTTTCTCACAGGCATACAAAGCCCATGATAGTACAAGAAGTAAAAGTAAAAACAGTGGCAACAGTAAGTGGCAGTTGTCAGCGGTAGAGGCCAATCCTAAAATTCTCCATTTGCCCTGGTCCGGAGCAAGTAGTCCTCAGTAGGGATTCTTCTTGATGGGGAGAATTTGATGTTGTGGTGTTCCTTCTCTCTCATCACCGGCCTTGCTCCCTTCTTCCCTAGTGAGACAGAATGAGCAATCAGTTTCACGATCTTTTTTTTTTTCAATTAATGAAAAAAGTTTCAGATTTTACATAAATGTTCTATGAGGAATATGATTAGTTCAGTTCACTTTTCCTCAAGTTCAGTAAAATAAAGTCTATATTCTCTACATAGACAATGTAGCGGAAAGGGAAGGTAGATAAAAATGTAGATTTTTTCAGTAGAGAAATTTAGGGCAAGTGATTCGAACTTTAATAAAGTTAAATAAAAAGGAAGACTGCTATGTTTTTATCAGTCTGGAAAATTTCAAAATCCCTCTGTGTCTTACAATAGAAGGCATTGTTTAGAGTGGCATATTAAAAATGATCTGCTTTTTATACTCACTGAATTCTTGCTAGATATCTTTTCCAACTTGCTCGCTTTCCTATTATCACGTTTGAATTCTTTTGCTAGTGTTCAGCATGCTTTTGGAATTTTTCAGTGTGAACAAGATTGCTAAATATTTCCATTAGTATTTACTATATTCATATAAGATACTGTGGGAAATATTTATCAGTCATCTTATTTAGAACATATGTATGTCTTGATACATCTGCCAAAAATGTGTTTGACTTTGACTGTCATTGGAATTTTTTCTTTTGTAAATTTGTCTTATAGATCCTTATGAAATTTGAAGCTTGACCTTATCACATCCCGTATTCACATATTTAGTATCATCATTGGCAAGGAATTTTATCTGTATGGACTTAAAATTAGAAGCCCAAGCAAACTTAAACCTTCATATTAAATTGAGTCAAATACGTGGGCTGCATATAGTGAGAGCATCTCAGAATTCATTTGTGGTGATAGAGAATACATAAGCCATGGAATCAGACTGTTCAAATCATGGTTCCACTATTGAATATCTGAGTGATGACCTCTGTGAGCCTTGGTTTTCTCATATATAAAACAGAACTAATAATACTTATTTTGAAGAATTACAGAGCAAGTTAAAATGACTTTTAGTAAATGAAAGAGTTGAGCATACACTATGTGTGCTCAATACTGAGCAAATCATGAAGAGGAAACAATATATCACTTAGCATAGTAAGAGTTACATATATGTTAACTCCTTTTCCTTCCTCTTAGTAGCCTACTTTTTATTCATTATTTTTTTTCTGAAACTTTTATCAATTTGTGGCCCTGAAAATGAAAAGGGTTTTCCATAGTTCTTTCTTTTATATCAGCAATTCAGACTTTACTTCTAAGATTGTTTTACTTGTCTTCAATCGGGCAACATTTCTAATCTGAAATACATATGTTTTTGTAATGCTTTACCATGGCTCTTGCACAAATGCATAGTGCTTTTTGGCTTTGAGCACTTGTTTACCATGATAATTTGAAATGATACTAGGTAAATAAATGCTCACTTATAAAATCTATTTTACTTTCTAGGTATCAAAAGTTAAAATAATTTTGATATCGAAACAATAATTTGACATAATTAGTTGAGAACGATAGGGAGAAATATGAACCTCCAAAGCTTATAATAGTTTCAGAACTGTCAAAATACAAGTTTCGTGTTTTTTTAAAAATATTATTCACTGTATCATCAGATTCAGCAGAATTTGGATATTACTTTAATTAAAAATTAAACTACTGTTACACTATCAATGTTACTAATTTAAAACCATAATTTGGATATTAGATTGAAATAATGTAAAATTATCTGATTACTATAAAAAATATATATACAGCAAAATAATGTAATAGAGCAACAACTAAGATAAATCGAAGTTAAATGCATCAAGCTGTTGATTATAGTATGTTTAGATTTATGTCAGTTCAGGGAAAGTCCAGATATTTGCATCTATTTAATAATTTGCAAACAAGACAAGCATGGTTTCTAAAAATACTTGGTTCAATTTCATTCTTTTTAGAAAGGTTGTCATATAGCTTACTTACTATAAAGTGGTAGTGGCAGATAGAACATACTGATCATTCATCTTTTATGCAAATCAGAGGGACAAAATTTAAGCAAGAAATTAGTTATATAGCTATATAATTTAATAGAGTAAGTATTAAGCAGAACTCGATTCCCAAAATAGCCATTAGGTAACATCATTGAAAACCACATGAAAATACAGTAGACAGATTATATTCTTAACAGTTGGCATGCAAAACACAATCCTTTAGATTTTGCAAGTTTTGGTTTCTCTTCTGCATATGCAGGTTTATACTATGTGTGGAACTTAGTCTGAAGATGACTGCAGGGATGTCGCTATAGGAATGGGCCTCTGGAGCTTAGATGATTGTAGATAAATGGTTATACATTTATATGCCATATTCTCCTGGGAATCCCACATGAGCCAAAGTCTAGAGAGTGACCTGAACTTGCCTATGGTTTAGAAGTGGTAAGAGGTGTAAACATTTCAGTTTTCCAAAAGTCCGGTGGTGAGATATGGACTAAGCCATTCCATTGTCCTCTAATTTTGCTGAAAAAATAGTCATTTACAGTAACTTAGGACTCTGCAATTCAGGGGATGACTAGATGGCAAACATGGCATGGGGCACCCACATGTCTCTCTCCCTACATTGGGGCGCATGCTTCCCTCATACATGGGATAAGCACTGGTATGAAGGGAATGCTTGGGGAGCTTAGGTAATCACAGGCTACGTAACAGTGCCTGCAGGAGTTTCTTCTTGAGATGATCTTTGAGGTCTAGGAACTTACTCTGAGATGTCTTTCTCTTAGCACCCTGTGTGGGGGCTGTGTCCCTTATGTATTTTCAATGGACAATCTAAAATAACTCAGAAAGCCTGTAAAATAGTTACATCCTCTCATTGCTTGTTTTTATAGTCCCTGTAACCCCTCTTTCATTGCTGTCTGCTGTAATTAAAATAAAGGTTCGTTTGCTCAGAACTTTCCTGTGTAAAACCATAATCTGTATAAACTGAGAAGTACTGCATTGGGAAAGATGCAGCATTTTCATTTCTGTTTAATATGCTAATATTATCCTGACTGCTGAAAGGTTTTATTAATTTTTAGACAAGTCTTTTTGCATATAATCATAACTAGAGATATGACCAGTTAAGTTTATGTTATTTTTCTGAACAGAGGAACCCATGGCTCAGTAGTTCACAGACCATCAAGTAAAGGACTCTAGGTGGAGAAATTTAGAGTAAATGGAGGCTTTCTAGATACAGGGGAAGAGGGACTTTGGTAATAAGAGATTGTAGTATCATAGGAACCATGGCAGAGCATGTATTGCCAGTTTGTACCTGCCAGGATGGTTTAAAAATCCCTTTTTTTAAAGTCCCCTTTGTCCTGAATCATCATGTGAACTTGTGTCTACTATAGGAGAAAGCAAGGAAGAGAGGACATTTCGGAACTGGATGAATTCCCTGGGGGTCAGTCCATACATTAATCATTTGTACAGGTAAATATTTTATTGTGTTTCACCTTATAGGGAGGTTCCAGCTTTTCTATTTTCAAACTGTAGGTGTGTTTACATGAGAACATTTTCTAAAAATCAGAAGAATTTTAGTCAACATTTAGAATCTCAGAATGCTGGAGACTGGCAATACAATGGATTTTAAAAGTAAAATATCACTAAAATAAGAACATGGTAATGTAATATTTTAGTGATGGTATGTTAGCAAAGGTAATCCATCTTTTTTATAATTATTGATCAGGAAAATAAAATTTTCAACTTTAACAAATTAATATTTTGCAAATTGTTCTTGTCATCACATCAATATTTTTCATTATAATTCACTTTATTTTTGCCAAAACTTCAATCATCCCATAATTTGCTGTGTTTACTTTTTGTAGTTTGTAGAAATAACTTGTTTTCCCTGATGTATTTAATTGTTGTAATCTATCTTACTCTTTCTTGTTTAAAAATGACAACACATTAACACTGGTAAGACTAAGAAAATATTTTACTGAATCATTTTCAGTGCTCTCTGATTGTGCAAACAGTATGTCTTCACTTTAGGATAGACCAGCCTGCCTTAAAAAACGCAAAAGGATTCAACTTCAGCTAATTGTATATTTTTTAGAGAAAAGGTCTACTTAACTAAACCTATTAATAATTTACAGACCAAGAAAACTCCTTGATCAATTTTTCACTAAAAATTTTTAATATAATGTATAAATTATTATGAATTGTTACTTAAATATGAACTGAAGATGAATGCTGCCAAAGACCAAGTGCACTGGCTAAGGATTTATGATACAGTAATTTCTGCTTCTAGGTGTATATTTAAAATATACTTTAAAATCTAAAACCAATATTGCCTTGGTATGGTAACTGGCTTTGATGTGATAGGCTCATACTTGATAAACTCTTTAAAAGTGTGTAAATTCCAGCTAGATGATAAACTAGAACCACCATTTTATAGTAGCAGGGCAGTAAAGAATGCAAATATTGGAGGTAAGGAAGAATTAGATCTTTGTGGATAAATTTGAAAGTATGTCTGTTATATAGAATTGAGAGAAAATAATAATAGGTCTAATATCCCATTTTTATTTTGACATCGAGTGTATACACATTTGCATGTGTATGTTTTAAAAATCTGGAGGGATGAATACCAAACTATGCAACTCAGAAAGTAAGAATGGAGAAAAGTGAAGAGACTTTCTTAATCTTAATAACTTATATATATTTTCTTTTTATTTTGTTTTTTACAGTGAACTTGTATTTCTTTTTTAATTAAAAAGTAAGTGTAAAACTAGGGGATTAAGATTTGACCAGACTCATGGTAACTTCTTCATAAATGTCAAGAATAGTTTTCTCTGTGGTTGAAAATAGAGAAGAGAATTGGCCATATATATTTTTTAGTTTAAAGAGTATTTGTAGCCATTTAAATCCTGAATTGCTAGCACAGGATTTCTAGGCATATGTAATTTTTTCTTGGGAAAGGGAATTCAGAAAATTTTCGAAGCAACATAACCTTAAAGAGAACCATTGGACATAGAAAAACAGTAGCCAGAGGCCTAGTTGGTACCAGAACCACATGGCCTTGAATTTGT